AAAGGAGGGAGGGTGAGAAAGGAAGTGAGAAAGGAGGGGGGGAGAGAAAGAGAAAGGAGAGGGGGGGTGAGAGAAATTAGGAGGGGGGAAGAGAAATTAGGAGGGGGAAAGAGAAATTAGGGGGGAGAGAAATTGAAATTAGAAGGGGGGGGATAGAAATTGAAATTAGGAGGGGGAAAGAGAAATTAGGGGGGGAGAGAAATTTGGAGGGGGGTGAGAAAGAGAAATTGGGAGGAGGAGAAGGAAATTGGAGCGGGAGGAGAGATTGACATTCATCACATACACACAATGCACCCCTTGCACACAGAAAAACACAATACATTACACACACAGACACATACACAAAAGCAATACAACATTACACACAATACATCCCTTACACACACACAAAAGCACTAATATTCAATACACACACTCAATACACCCTTACACACACATTCAATACATCCCCATACATACACAGAAACACACCTAGCAGCCCTTACACATACAAAACACAGATTCACACAATACATTCCTTACACACATATCAGGACATCCCCTACACACTCCACCCCCTGTGAACAAACTCATTGGTGGAACATGAAGGTGGACCCTGGGACCCAGACCTTGAGCTGTGTAAAGGACCCCCAAAAAATGCAGCTGCTTCCCGTTTTCCCAGAACATTGATTTTTGTGACCACAGTTACAAACCGCCTCCAGAAAGCCTGTTCTGCACCAGACCAGTGGAGCCAGACTGCAGCTAGAGCCCATCATCATCCCTCATCTGGTTGTAAGTAGGCAATCTAGTATATTATTCGTGGCACTAAGCTCTAATTTACCTCACATTAAAGAAACACTATAGTCCCCAGAACCACTTCAGCTTACTGTAGTGGTTCTGGTGTCTATAGCCTGTCCTTGCAGGCCTTTTAATGTAAACACGGCGGCACTGCAGCACTGGCGTTAGTTAACGTGGCAAATCATATGGGTGGGGCATTGTGATGTCACATGGGGGGGGGCGGCAAACTTTACTTTTGCCTAGGGCGGCAAAAATCCTTGCACCGGCCCTGGCTGGAGGGGGCTGTGTGAGCTGTGGCCGCACAGTGTCCCATGGTAGTTATTGTGCCGTGCGGCCAGTACAGCTCACACAAGCAAACAGCTGATAAACTGGCCGCACGGAGGAAATGTGTATGTGTGACTGTCTGCCTGTGACTGTATGTGACTGTATGTGACTGTCTGTCTGTAACTGAGTGTGTGACTGTCTGCCTGTAAATGTGTGTGTGGGGCTGCAGGGATTTTGTAGAAGGGGGCGGGGGTTTTGTATTGGGATAGGAGTCTTTATAAGGGGGGATAAGCAGGGGATTTGTGGAAGGGGGTTGCGGAGGTTTTGTAGACGAGGCAGTACAGGATTTGTAGAAGGGACAGGACAGAGGTTTTGTAGGAGGTGCAGGACAGGACAAGGGTTTTGTAGGAGGGGCTGACAGCGGTTTTGCAAAGTTTACAAATTGTAAAAAAAAAAAAAAAAGAGAACCTTTAAAATTTTTTACAGGTTTTTAGAAGAGGTGGGTGGGTGGGGGGGGTGCCAAGCACAGGATCCGCCCCGGGTGCCAAATGCTCTAGGTACGCCCCTGGTTATACACTCAGACACATTACTAGGAGTATTATTGCTGTGGAGCTCTGTTATACACTCAGACACATTACTGGGAGTATTATTGCTGTGGAGTTCTGTTATACTCACAGACTCATTACTGGGAGTATTATTGCTGTGGAGCTCTGTTATGCACTCAGACACATTACTGGGAGTATTATTGCTGTGGAGCTCTGTTATACACTCAGACACATTACTGGGAGTATTATTGCTGTGGAGCTCTGTTATACACTCAGACACATTACTGGGAGTAATATTGCTGTGGAGCTCTGTTATATTCAGACACATTACTGGGAGTATTATTGCTGTGGAGCTCTGTTATACATTCAGACACATTACTGGGAGCATTATTGCTGTGGAGCTCTGTTATACATTCAGACACATTACTGGGAGTATTATTGCTGTGGAGCTCTGTTACACACTCAGACACATTACTGAGAGTATTATTGCTGTGGAGCTCTGTTATACACTCAGAAACATTCAGGGCCATCTTTAATTTAGATTGGACCCTGGGTGAGCATTTACTTGGGCCCCCTGACTACGTCTAGATACACACAAATACACTACCTGACACACATGCAGATACACACTGACCACATATAGATACATACAAGAACATACAGATACACACAGACTACATATAGATACACTGACACACATATAGACACACACACAGATACAAACACTGACATACATGCAGATACAAAGGTACACACACTGACTACTTATAGATACACCGACACACACACTGACAGACAGACACACAGATACACAACCTGACACACATGCAGATATACAGATACAAACACTGACACATACAGATACACACACAAATACAAATGGACAACATACAGATACAGAGACACATTCTGACAGACGTACTGACACAGACTCACACACAGAAAACCATACTGAAACACACATACACAAAGACATACTGAACCACACAGACACTGATGGACTCTCACACACACAGACATACAGATACACTGACAGACATACTGGCACATATACACACAGACAGACGGACATACTGAAACAAACATACACACAGACATTGACAGACATATTGACAAACACAGACATACAGAACCACACTGACAGACTCACACATAGACATACTGACAGACATACACACATTCTGGCACACACACACAGACAGACTGAAACACACAGACACAGACACTGACAGATATACACACATACAGACATTTTGAAACTCACAGACAGCCATACTGAAACACACAGACACTGACAGACTCACACAGACATACTGACACACAGACAGACATTCTGGCACACAGACAGACATTCTGGCACACAGACAGACATTCTGGCACACAGACAGACAGACATGCTGAAACACACATACACACATACAGACAGACATGCTGAAACACACATACACACAGACACTGACAGACAAACACACATCCAGACATTTTGACATACACTGACAGCCATACTGAAACACACATACACACTGAACCACACAGACACTGACAGACTCACACACAGACATACTGACACACTGACAGACATACACACATACAGACATACTGAACCACAGAGACACTGACAGACTCTCACACACAGAGACATACAAATACACTGACAGACTTGCACTCATGCAAAATTTGATAACCACCCTCCAGTTTCTTACCTTTTCCTGGAGGGTGGCTTCCCTGGGGTCCAGTGGGCTGGCTGGGGTAGCTGGGAGTTAAGCTCTCCCAGCCTGGCCCCCTCCGGAACAGCTGGTCCGCCTTCCTCCCGCGCGGCTCCTGTTTCTGTGGGAGGAAGTGACGCACGGCTGTCACTTCCTCCCAGTGCTGCCGAAAAGCAAAGGCCCGGTCGCGCTGTTAAAGCGCCACAGCACCCGACCGGGCCCCTGCTGACACAGGCCCACCGGGTGGCCCTAAGTGCATGGGCCACCCGATGGGCCCCCATAGTTTGCGGGCAGAGGGCAAACAGGGTAGTTACCTTGGGCCCCCCAGCAGGGACAGGGCCCAGGGCAGCTGCCTCGTTTGCCCCGCGTTAAAGACGGCCCTGGAAACATTACTGGGAGTATTATTGCTGGGAAGCTCTGTTATACACTCAGACACATTACTGGGAGTATTATTGCTGTGGGGCTCTGTTATACATTCAGACACATTACTGGGAGCATTATTGCTGTGGAGCTCTGTTATACATTCAGACACATTACTGGGAGTATTATTGCTGTGGAGCTCTGTTACACACTCAGACACATTACTGGGAGTATTATTGCTGTGGAGCTCTGTTATACACTCAGACACATTACTGGGAGCATTATTGCTGTGGAGCTCTGTTATACACTCAGACACATTACTGGGAGTATTATTGCTGTGGAGCTCTGTTATACATTCAGACACATTACTGGGAGTATTATTGCTGTGGAGCTCTGTTATACTCTCAGACACACTAACAATATGGAGTTTCTAGAAATGGACATTAAGATAGAAGAGTGTCAGAGGGATTTGGGAACAAAATAGGGACTGTGCTTCATAAATGGAAACACCTGGGAGGGATTAAATGGATTTTTTTGTAACTAAACTGGGGGTGTTCTGATAAAAGGGAGCAAGGATAAAGGAGGAGAGTGAATTGAGGCAAAATACGTATCCATCCCTCCATCGATGCAAACACACAAAGTCACCAAGTGACAGGGCAGAGAGGATCATGGGATGGAGTGTGGAATTACATGGCAATGTTATGAAGAATTACGTCACAAATAGCATCTTGGCATGTTATGTAAATTGGCATGTAATATGTGATAATGGACCTGACGTGAGATTGTGGGATCAAGTTTGGTGAAATATCAAGTTGAAAGTGGGGAAGAGAGCGATATATAACTACAAAAAGTGTTTATTAGTCCTGATAAATCAGTGCATAATATCATGAATTGATCTGCTTAACAGCGAATGGTGATACATTGCCGAAAGAAGAAAAAACTCCACAGTTTAGGAATAACTCACATCCCCCCTCCCATGCCCCACCACGTAAGAATGAATGGAGTCTGCTAATGGTGTGGTATTTACCATTGTTGGTGGAATCCGGATCCACGTGACAATGGTGTCTCTTTTCATGATTAATGACAGGCTGGCATTTTCTGGTTTACAGTTTACATGCAGTATTACCGGTTTTCTTTCCAGCAGATTTTCTTTGTGTTTCAATTTTAAAACATCTGGGGTGTAGCACAAAGAACAATCCACCCCAAGGGTTCAATACTGCAGGTACGCCTGTCTACGCCTCTGTGTACATGAAGCGTTAATAATAATTCTGTGTTAGCATAGATGGTTTGTCTAGACTTGCACACCTGTGTAACAGATACAATGAGAGACGTAGAGAGACGCACTAAATACAAAGCCTAGCCCTGAAGTTTCTCTGCTCGTACATTTCAACGAGACTTTAATTGGAGATATAGTACGTGACGCATACAGGAATGTAAGGAATTCTGCAATGACCTCATGGAACTAAAACATTTAAGAAATGGGTGGTATTTACTTAATAGCTCAATAATTATGGAAATTAGCAGGACATATAAAAAAACTAAACGACAACTTCGACACAGAGACCTGCAGAGCCGGCACAATGGAGAGCAAAGAGAAACAGCAAACCTCGGACACTCAACAACCCTATGATTCAACGAGGTATCGAGGACATTGGCAAGCCAGACAGTGCCCAAAACAGGTGGGTGCCAAATGGGGCTTTAACACAAAGTCATTCAGAACTTAACCAGCGTATATTGATTCTGAAATCTTATCTAACCAAGTGCAATATAGTCCTAATGCACCTGTCATGGGTGATGATATATTTCCTACCTGTTCTATGTTACATTTTGTATATACGGTGTATTAATATTGTTTTCGTATTTTATTGAACCCTATTGTATCAATGCAATGTTTTGTGGACCCAGGACATATTTGAAAACGAGATAAATCTCAATGTATCCTTCCTGGTAAAATATGTTGTAAATAAATAAATAATACTGATATGTATGTATAGATTTCAAAATACTAGGAACATAGTTTCAACTGATCTGCACCAGACATTCCAAAGCAGAGAGCAGGGGGCCGGGAGAGAATGGTGGGGGGCACAGAACAACTAGAGGAAAGGGTAAGTGAAGGAGAGGGGGCAATAGAGACACATACAAAGAGAAATGAGAGCTATTGAAAGAGTAAAGGGGAAAAAGGAGAGAGAGATGGTGTACGAAAAAAGAGTCAGGAACGAAAGCAAAAAAGGGGAGAGAATGGAACAGAGATTAAAAAAAATATATGAATAAATGTAAATAGCTTTATTTTGTAGATGTTCTTAAAAAGCAATCTTTTCATATAAAGAAAAGAGTTTGAAATTGAAGGAGTTAGTTTTATTTGAGCTATACACGTGAGAATATGGATCCCTCCATATCTCTTCCTGCAAGTCAGGTCTCTTTGGTAAAGGACGTATTTATCAGTTACATGAGGAAACAAATAGACGTATAAAACATGTTATGATTGAATTTGATTCATTAATATCTATTTTCTGTTTTGCTTTTTTTTTCTGTAAAGCATCAAGCTTTTACATTTATTCCTCGGCCTGGGTTCGAAGACAGAGGAGACCTGAAAAACAAGACGGGCTGTGGAACCGGTAAAGGAGATGGCAATCAAGAATTTCATGTAACAAGTGGGCCTGACATTATAGATGGCATGTTACCCCGTGCGCCAATTTACCGGTATTTCCTTTCAGAAAAAGATAATTATTTGAAATCATCTGAAGTGAAAAGTTCAAGAAGCGACGGGTTTTCTACAAGAAACCACGTCAAAGCAGCCGCTTCCGATACGGACTTACCCAAAAATGTGGAAGAAATCTCACAACAAGCATTTAAAAAACATTTGGAAATTATCCGATGCACTTTTCCAGTCAAAAATGAAAAATACTTATATTTCCGAAATATCAATCAACAAGATAACCGAATGTAACGCGCTTCCCTGGAGTTTCTGAGGATCTGCTAAGCTTCCTTTGGAATAAATGATTTGCAGTGTCCAAGGACTCATCTTCTCACACTTCTTAACCTGCTTAAACCAGGCTTGTCAACCTCTCAGCTGTCAATGGACTACAACTCCCAAAAATCTTTAAATGCTATAGATGAAATACAACTCTCATGATGCTTTGCTCAACAACATCGGGAGTTTGAAAATGCCGGCTTAAACTATATAAACTGCTAGTTTCTCTTTAACACTGACCATTAATGCATGAAATCTGCTGTTTATTTAAAATATCTAAAACAATATATAAAAAACCTCACCTGAAGAAAGATTCTAGCTTGGAAGGAATAAGCTAAGCACCAAAACAACTTTCCTCGCCACACCTCCTCAGAGCTGCCAACAAACATGAGGGGAGAATCAAGATGGGGCGGCAGGACACTGACCCAACCCACGTCATTAGCGACAAAAATTAAAAGCACCGTCCACTGACAGTCTACCTGGTCGGAACCCAACTTTCAGGAACATACAGGGAGTGCTGCTGAAGCTGCATGGTCGTAGTGCCCACTTCCCAAAGACAGAACTAAAGTAGGACCCTGACATTGGGACTGCCCTGTTGCAATCAGGACTTTTGGGAGGTTTGCCTCCACTGGCTGTGACTCAAACAGCCTCCGTGAACAAAAGGTTTAATTTTTTCCATCACAGTGTGTTTACTTTTTAAGTTTTTAACTTCTGCTTTGTTGGACTTTAATAAAAGGTGTAACATATAATATAAAATAATAATATAGAAAGTTTAAACATTAGATCTCACTTTGCAGGAAGTGTTTAGGAAGGCTGTGCAGGTTACATGCAGGGAGGTGTGGCAATGGCGGTATAAACAAAGTGAAATAACTCCTAAATGACAGAGAATTGAGCAATGTGACTGCAGAGAAATGATCTATACACCAACACTGCTTCATTAAGCTAAAGTTGTTTTGATGTTCCTTCTCATATAAGAGCATTCATAATCGATTCATTTGTTTGCAGAAATTGAAAATGTGTATCCAGTCATATCCAGACAAGTCCCTTGCAAGTTCACAGATAAAGGTAGTTTAGACACACGGGAAAGTGAACATATAAAGTAAATTAACACACAAACATAAAAGATAAAAAAAAGTGTGTGCAGTACAAACAGAGGGTTATATTACTGGACATGCAGACCAATCACTTAGATCCAATGTGCAGAGGTAAAGAGTACTTGCAACCAAATCCACAGTCATTAAAATGAGAAGGCGAGGATGATTAGAGGGATTATTCGTGGGTTTTTAATTCTTTGTGGAGGAATAAGAATTGTTCATTTTAGGCCACGATAACCAAATTAGAATAATTCTCCAAATCTGTTATGTTTTTAGAAAATTCCCAATAATTCACAATTTCATTAAAAGCTATGAGAAAATGTTTGCATTGTCGATAGATGCAGTTTATAAAAAAGTATTATGGTAAATAGAAGAGAAATATATATATTTTTATAAAAACTGGTTGTTTTTTTCTCTCTTTTTATGTATCAGTTACAATGGTAGATCCTTGTTAGAAAAACAAATCTTATGTTACTTCCGTTAGTTGAAATAAAATATATTCACTGTAATGCAATGAATGTCTCCAAGTGGCTATTTATTGTTAGATACATTTAATCGATCAATCCCCAGCCTCTCAGACTCTGACGCTACGACTAATATCCTCCTATCACTACATATTTATTAACTGGGATTTTCAATAAAAAAGTCATTTAGCATTAAGGGACACAGTAAATAGGAGAAAGTGACGTATAGAATTCCACAAGGGGTAACTAACATCAGGAGAGCTCCACTGGTATAAGAAATGAGGAAGGGGGGCCCTACATTTAATCACGCTAAGGATGTAAAGGGATATGCAAACAAAAAGTATAACGTGAAAAAAAGGTAGATCTACTAAACAGTGCCCACGGGATCCATTATCAGGAGTACTAAATAGCATCTAAGTTCCAGTTCCCCTAGTGTCCGACTGACGGAAAGGTATTGTGTAAACGAGGTTAGGGAGAGAGAAATGGCGAGGGTCCCCAGAGAACAAGGGACCGGGTAATCTGGTCTAAACGCAGATGAAAAGCCTCAAAGAAAAAAAAAATAATCTCCATTCACCCTAAGAGTTACCACTGTGGTCTGACCAATAGTGTCTACCTGAACCAACTCTCCCTACTAAAGTTATAAACAAACACCTAAAAATCTATAACCATAGTGGTAACAAAAATAAAAAAGTGAAACTCTTAAAAAAAAAAAAATCCATCTACAACTAGCAAGGGCACCGCACAGAATGAGCTCCGCAGGGTGGGGAAATGCTTATAAAACCTTCCCACGTCCTGCAGTTTGACTCAGAGCGTTTTGATTGGTTGGTTTAAGTTAACCAATAAGAGTGCTCTGATAGATAAATAGTGAGCCTTACCTGATTGTAAGGCTCGCTACTTACCCATGGGTGGGGGAGGACAATAGGTAGCCATTGGCTGCTCACTGTTTAGTAGACATGCCCCTACTCGCGGTATAGCGTGTAAGGGCAGATTTATTACTAATACTGAATCATATTTACTTAGTATTAGTAAATTTGTCTGAAAGACCAATTTAGGTCTTTTGGCCTTTTAGTAGATAGCTCCCTAATACCGTGGGAATTAGGGAGCTATCTACTCGGGGCACAAATAGGATCGGAGTTTTATTAATTCAAATGAAATTCCGTTCCAAACTAAACTCCGCTTTCTCCTGCAGCACAGAGTCTATTAAACAAAAGTACTGAAACAAAAAGGTATTCTGCATTTGCCCTTTTGTTTCGTATATAATTCGTATGTAGAACTTTCGTTTATGTTATAGCAAACGAATACGAAAAAGTCAGAAAATTTGGACGACATCATATTCGTCCTATAACGAATGCACATGTCTAATGTTAAACAGAATTCTACGTTATATTGCTTTTACTGCAAATAATATGTTGTTTTAGGTCTTCTTTAGGTCTCAAATTGATTGATTTTTGTCATTTTTACAGTCCAGTTAAAGAATAGGATACCAAAGAGCTGGTCATACTAGTTCTTTATATCTTTGTATAATATTATAATACACCTCTTAAAGGCTTTTTTAATTAAACAAATTAAACTTGTTCCCCTAATTATGTGTAGCCTATTCCTGCAATTTTTACAGTTCCACAATATCATTCTCTTAAAATTTGTGGCCAAAATGTAAAATGTTAACTTGCCAAACACTTTCTACCAGCTCTCATTAAGCCCATGTTCAATCCGATAACATACATGTTCATCTAAACCAACTCCTTTTAAATAGTACATTAAGCAACCTTTCTATAGAAGTATATCAACTAGCGGAACAAAATCCAAATAGATCACATCTACTTCAACTCCCGGACAAATACTTCTACTGATTTCTTAGCATGCATTTAAAACTCTGACATGATCTGCACTATATAAACGCTGGCTTAGTCCTACTAAGGATGTTGGTCACAGTTACATAGTAACCTAGGTTGAAAAAGACACTAAAGTCCATCACGTTTGGATCGATGCAATGTTTTGTGGACACAGGACATACTTGAAAAACGAAAGAAATCTCAATTTATCTTTCCTGGTGAAATATTTTATAAATAAATAAATAAAAGTTCTACCTTGAAAGTTATATCTGTTATGCTGTTGATACAATAAGGCAAAAAGAAAACAGTTGTAACCATTTCCAATTATGCCTTCAATCAACAACCTGTTTGCATACATATGAATTATATCCTTGAATATTTTGAAAAAGAAGCATCCAAGACATTTTTTAAAATATCTGAGTGGAGAGAGATCAGACAGCTGGGCAACAGACAGATAGCTGTGTAACAGTATCGCATGGTAACATGGGGGGTAAATAGGAAAGGTTTAGCTAGTCCTGACTTTGTGCAGCCTAACAGATTTTCCGGTGAGTAAAGATATTGGGAGCATCAGCTCAGTTCCTTCTAACAGCCATGGCAACAGCCCCTCTAGTACGGGTAGGGTTAAGAATGTAAGGAAGGCTAGACAGGTTGTGATGATAGGGGACTCTATTATAAAGAGAGTAGATAGGGCAATCTGCCGGTCTGACAGTCTCAACCGGATAGTTTGCTGTCTCTCTGGTGCTCGGGTCCGGATGTTTCAGAGTGGAGGGATTATTTGGAGGCACTGGGGTTGACTCAGCTGGCATGGGCCTTATTGGTACCAATGACAAAGTCAGAGGAAAATAGAAGGTTCTAAAGAACGAGTTCAGGGAATTAGGTAATTAAGTAAGCCAAAGAAAAGGACATCCAAGGTAGTATTTTCAGAAATATTACCTGTGTCGTGTACTACAGTGGAAAGGCAGTTGGAGATTAGGGAGGTTAATGTGTGGCCGGGTGGTTGGAGGAAATTTCAAATTATTGGTGGGGGGGGGGGGAGAGACATAGAAATCTACAAAATGGAGATAGGACAGAAAGAAGATGGGCTTTAGCTCAGAGCAACGGGGGTGGAGATGAGAGGATGGGCAAGATCAGAACAGAGAAGGCATGTAATAGCAATACAAATTCACATAAAGTAGAAAAGACTTCTGATAATATTAAATGTATGCTTACTAATTTTTACCCCCCTTTTGTGTTTTTGTGTTTCTTATCCACTTTTTTGAATGTCTTGCCCCCCTTGGTGTATCCTATCGCCCTTTTGTCTTACACTTCCCTTTAGTATATCTTATCCTCCAATTGTTTCCTTTTGTGTCTCTTTGTGTGTCACCTAATTCCCCTCAACCCTTTGCATGTCTCTTTCTACTATAATCCCTTTCTGTGTCTCTTTCTAACCCAACTCATTTGTGTGCCTTTCTCCCCCAGCCCCTCTGTGTGTCTAATTCCCCCACCCATTTGTGTCTTTTTTCCCCCCAATGTATCTTATTCCCCCAGCACCCCATGAGTCTCATTGCCCCAGTCCTCCAATGTCTCAAGTCCTCACCCCTATGTGTCTAATTCCCTACCCTCCCCCTATATGTGTCTGACCTCCTCTCTCTATCTGTTTCCGGTTACCTCCATCCTATGTAGCGTGGCCGAGCTGCGGACTGGGGTACAGGAGCTTGTTTCCCTCTCCCCGGTCTGACAGGAAGTTATTCAGCACTGTCTGTGAATACTGTGCTGTGCGCTCTCCTCCTGTCGATCACCCGGGCATTGCACTCCCTGGGCCAGTGCGCCCTAAGGAGGCTGTCTGTGCCATCAGATATCTGCTTGGGGCAAAATAAAATAAATCAATTATTTGTTGGGATATGTTATAAAAAACCTAATGTTAATATTAATGATATAGAACAGCTATTAGAGGAAATTGGGTAATCTGCACATCTGGGTAACACATTATTTATTGTAGATTTTAATTACCTGGGCATAAATTGAGATAGAGAAACTAGTAGTTCAGCAAGGGGAGTCAGATTTTCAACCCTGCTAGTGATATCACTGGTTCAAGTACCAACAAGAAAGGAAGCTTGTCTGGATCTGGTTAAAACGAACAATGTTGATCTTTTGACCAATATTCAAATAGGGGTTCACTTGGGAAATAGTGATCACAATATAGTGTCTTTTGAAATAAACTCAAAAAAGCAAAAACACATGGAGCATACTAAAACATTTTCTTTTTTTGAAAGGCCAATTTCAATACGATAATGGAAGCATTACAATATATTGACTGGCATAAACTTTTTAGTGAAAAATAACACTAATGATAAATGAGGATAAATATCTTTAAACAAATATTAGAAAGGTCTATTTTTCAGTATGTACCATTAGGTAATAAATATAAAAGAAAAACTGAAACCAATGTGGCTCAGTGGGAAGGTAAACCAAGAGATTAAAAATAAGAAAAGGGCATTTAAAGCAATTTAAACCTGACCAATCAGAGGCATTCTAGATATAAGGAAGACTATACACAATACAATAAGTACACATATTCAGAAAAATAACAAATATGAAAATGAGGGTATGTAAAAAAAACAAAAAAACACAGAAGTGAAGCTTGTTAGTAATGAAGAGCAGGAAAAGTCAGAAAGTTTAGATAACTATTTTTCCTCTATATATATTAAGGGGGATTCTATGGCAAGAGAAATGCAAATGATTGCTGCAAAAAACTTAGAGAAAAATTGTGACTGGATGACTCAAGACAAGGTGCTACAGCAGCTAAAGAAAGTTAATGTAAATAAAGTTGGGGGACTTGGTGTATTCACCCATGAGTACTGAAGGAGCTTAAGTGTGGAAATAACTGGATCTCTGCTTCTAAGATTATTTATTTTCCGGAATTGTAGAATTGGAGGAAGGCAGATTCAAATAGGGTTGAAAATCCTTGCCTGGAAATTATAGACCTGTGAGCTTAACTTCAGTGTCTGGGAAAGTATTTTAAAAGTTATCAGGAATTCATTGGGAAGAACATTGATGTAAACAAAAATCAGCATGGTTTTATGAAACATAGGTCATGTCAAACTAACTCAATTGCATTCTATGAAGAAGTAAGTAGAAGTATAGATCAGGATGTTGCAGTGGATGTGATCTACTTGGATTTTGCCTAGATGTTTGATACGGTTCC